TCTCCAGTGGTCCTTCGTAGGCTGCGGTGGTAGGATAGTCAAAGTAAACGTCTTTGATGTTCAATACTGTTTCATTCTCTTTACTTTCGTCTACTTGTGGCTTTTCGGGATATCCATTGTGATGGGAATCCACACTCTGTGCTGCTGCTTCTTCTTCGACCTTTGCAGCACTCTGCCTGGTTATGAGAGGTCTTTCATCATGAGAGATGAAATGCTTTTCTGTGGTGGTTGTTTCGCTGGAACTTTCACCCGTGATAGATGGTTTAGCTTCATATACGTCATAAGACCGCCGCTGCTCTTCATCTTGCTTCTGAGGTGGCACAGCTTGAATCTCTGCTTGAGCTACGGCAGCATCAGTAAACCCGCTCTTGTCAGAGTAAAGAAAAGCGGCTTCTAATCTGCTTTCGGGACTCAGAATAGATGAGTCATCGTAGTAGATATCTTTGACATGCAATGTTGTTTCCCCTTGTGAAGCTGCGGCCGGCTCTTGTTTAATATCCGATCTTCCTTCGTGGTAAAGTGATACAACATTTTGTATAGGTTGAGGCTCGATATCTTCCTTTCGACTGGTAGCTTCCAAGGGCCCCTTATATTGTTCCAAAGATAAATAATCGTACGGAAAAGATTGTTTTGCAAATAAATTCATTATTTTATCACCGAGCGCTCTGGCAATATCAGCCGTAGTATCGCTCGTTTTTTCTTCTTTTGTGAGTGGCTCGTCGGATCGACCACTATGATATACGCTGACATGGTGTACTATGGGTTCATCTTTTATATCTTCAGTAGGAGACGTGATTTCCATTGGACCTTCGTACGCAGCGGTCGAGGGAAACCCGTAAAACTTCGTCGGAGTGGACGTCTCTTCGAATCTTTCAAAATCTTCGGGCAGCTCACTCAGAGGCGACCTCTGTTCTTCAAAGGACTCAGTCTGTGGTGTGCTCTTTTGTAATTTTCCCATTCTTTCCCCGCTGAATGAGCTTCCACTCGAAATCAATTCCACCATGTCAGTGCCAACGATAACAATGTCTTCATCCTCTGAAGACGTGCTAATTGTTTTGAGCTCGAT